ACAACCCAGAGGTGTTTCTGGTCCCCACCTGTCGTTTTGCTCCTCAGCATGGCTTCCTAAAAACGCTGCAGGATTTCTCAAACATGCATGAATGAGTCAAAGCAAGGCTTTGGGCATGTTTTTTATGAGATTATAACATTATAACATGATATAAAACTCAAAAAAGTTGATTTTACATAATATTGTCCCTTTAAAAAAACATAGGTACCGTCCCACTTGATGTTGTGCTAAGAGGTAACACTTGTTGTGTTAAGGATGACTCTCAACTACCACATCAAATTTTGAAATATAATAATTTTTGTGTTTAATAAGGCTGATTAGCTGTGGTAGTCATCTTAAATTAGGTTGACTCCAAAAGTCAGTTTGTTCTAAATACACCGCCAACGATTGCTTGAGTTTCACTAAAATTTGTCCAACTGGTCAAAAGATATTATGCTAACAGACACACAGGGTTAAGTCCAACATTTACGAAGTTTTCAAGGAAGATCTTATACAACATTTTAGCCCTCAAAATTTGTGTTAAATTCGACTCTCTGCTACAAATGAACCAAATTTTAACTCTGAATTTGTGAAACTGACTGAGTTAAAGCCATTTTTTTTGGTTTGTTAAGGTTGATTAGCTGTGGCGGCCATCTTGAATCTAGTTCCAAAGGTCGTAGATGACCAATCAATGGTTTCATTAAAATCTGTCAGGCATAAAAACAAGATGTTTTTATGTAATCGCCCACTTTGCAGGAACATTCGTAATTGACTTTGCTCAACTGCGGCAAGACTTGCACCTCGTTTGCTGTGAGCCAAACAGGCTGTCAGCAGGTGTATTGTGCGTAGCCAAGCCCGTCTTTCAGCTGACACATAATAGAAGGTGGCTAAATCAAAGGCTAGGTGTGTCTAAACAGATTGGTCCGGGCTCACCTGATACAGCAGCAGCAGCCTGATCAGCTGTGGCGCTCAGGCAGATCAGATAGCCGAGGTGAAGACGAGAAGTTAGGTGACACTGCAGCGCAGAGGCCGCGTTAACCGCAACACCACCTGCCAGATATCTTAACCCCCACCCCAGCATGTCAACACACACACACCCCACGCACACTCACAGGGGTCGCCTCATTCTGACTGACGCACAATAAAAAATAAAATAAAATTTAATAGTGTTTTTGTTGCCGGACCTGCAGCCGTTTCTAGTAGGAGAGACGTCACTTCTTAACAGAATCAACATGGAGCTCAGGAGGGTCCAAGACTTTCAGTCAGTCCTTGTTTCTCCTCAGAGCAGATGGTGAAGAGCTGTGCTGGTGCATATTTTCAGATTTAGCCGGACTGCATTCTGTTTCATCTAAATAACTCAAAGCATATGATTTCCTTCGTTTTTTTTAACTGTTTAGGTCTACATGTACAGAAACGACATCCGCCGAAGATTCCCTTGGTGTTGGGATTAGCTGGTGCCTATTGGATCAACTCAGGCACTTTGTGTGTTAAAGCTTAAGAAGTTTGACTGGGATGTTAAATTTTATTGACTCCAGTTTTATGCAATAGGAATCTGATGCATGCTTTTCTTCTTTTATTGCCTAAAAAAAGAAACTCTGACTGCGAGTGTCCTAAATAGTTCAGAACAGAAATAAAACAGGACTCCTGCACACGCATAGGAACTCTACAAACTTGCTTTATCTATTTCAGAGTAATGGTTTTTTAGTTTTCATGTGGGTTGTTGAGGACAATATTTAAATAAAAAATTGAATGTGCAAAATTTATTTTGTCATCGGGTCAACGGGGGATTGATTTTTTACGATTCATTGAAATGTTTTTGGGCAAAAAATCTAAACTTCAGCGATCCCCTTAATATTCTCATTATTGAATTTAAAAAAATGATGTAGAGTTCAAAGGTATAATTCTCCCTGATATATGAAAAATTTTGCAAAGTTGTTTGTAGAACCTCAACGAGGTTCATTTCCCATCATTATTTTAGAATAATGTTAGCAAAAGTAACTGGAGTCAATATTTCTAAACAGATAAATCCTCAGAATATTTTGAATCTATACAAATAAGTATATCTTGCACATTAATTGTTCCAGTATTTTAAAATTAGGTTTCGCGGAAAGGTTATGAACAATAAACCTCTTACCTGTTGCAGATAGCTCTTTGAACAGCTGGCTTGACCAAACTGGTTGCTGTTGTCCTAGAACACCTGCAGTCTCCAAACTTTCAAAATATAGTTTATTTATTTGAATAGAATAGAATAGAATAGAATAGAATAGAATAGTCCTTATTGTCATTGCACAAGGCTGTACAATGAAACTGAAGAAGCAGAAGGAATATTTATCTGAAAAAAGTGCAATTTTTATCCATAACAAGAACTAAAGTTTTCAAAGCAATATCTCCGAATGAAAGAAACAGAGCTACTTCAACACACTGTCACCTTGAGCTGTGCAATTTTAGGATTGCATTACGCAAATATTGTGGCATAAATATCATATTATTATTATTATACAGAGTGCTACAGTTAACTGTTACTGCTGCTATTTGTTTAACAAGCACCAAAGCATTCAAAGCAATTTTATCTACTGTTTGATTGATTGGTTTGTAAAAACGTTAATGTACATAACCAGGAAAAAAAAAGACCTATTTGATTACCCGTGTGAAGGTAGTGGTCATAATGTTATGGCTGGTCAGTATACATGAAGCCACACATTTAGTGTTTTATTTTGTTGCTGGATTTATTTTTTTATTTTTTAGAGCAAAGCAGCCAAATTATGATATATTTCAGATTTGAGGTGCCACCTCAAATCTGAAGCACAATGTGTTTTTATATGGTTTGTGATGTGTTAGCCTGGTTAAAACCAGCCCCTTGTCTTCGCTTTGCTTCAGGGAAACTAGAATTGAGTGGAACAGTGTAGGAAGGCAAGGGCCAGGCTAGTGATGTGTTGGACATGATTTAAAAGTTTTAGTTTTTTTTTTTTTAAATGAAGGGGGAGTGTTTTGAGCTACATCACACACAGGACCAATAAACTAATGATGTAGAATCTAAATGAATTAAGACATAAATTTTATGAGCGTTTGTTCCAAAACAAGACACATTTTTGAAGTCGCAGTTGGCTGGCTGAAATTGGGAGTGGGGCAGTCTGAGGTTCTGATTCATAGTTTAGACTTCTCAATTTTTTTAGGAGAGAAATAATTAGAAATGAGAAAGGGGAAAAAAAAAGAAAAACCTGAAGAAACAAAGTGTGCCTTCTGCAGCGCTGTTCCTCTGACTCTTTAAGTTGGTTTTATGGTTCATATTATTGTAAGAAAAGCCAGTTAACATTCCGACTCATCCAACCACATCCCACCAACCAGCAGCCATGTGTTCCTCGAAGGAGGCGCTGAAAATGAAATGGACTGATGTCACAAAACAAAAAAATAAAAAACAAAAATAGAGGCCAAATCAGAAAGACAGTGGCTCCTACAAAAGGATAATCCACAAAATTAACATAAAAAATCCTGAAAAAGATGCAAACCATCTTCAGATCTGGCATCTAAAGACTGGTTTACTGTATACTTAAAGTTGCACGTCTTGCTCCCCCTGCTGAATGACAAAAAAATATTTTGTAACTTCCGTCCGCTATCCCCCGGTGACAGCTGCATTGTGCATTGCTCCCAGTCAGAACTCTGTCCTGTGGAACTTGCAGCTCACAGCGTGTGATTGGTTCGAACTTTGTGGGCGTGTTTGCTCGTTTATGCAGCGCAATGCTGTGGAGCGGCCGTCTTTCTACACAATAAATTAGCAAGATGCTGATGTGATCCTATTGACCACTTTCACTCCTCCTTTCCAGCGCCGCCAAGAAAAAACAAATTGTTTTCCTCCTGTGACTCCTCACCAACACAACGCTGATTCATTGTGTGTAGATAACTATTTTGCTATCACCATTGTTCATATTTTAGTTTTGCTCTATGCTACATTGGGAGTGCTGTGGGTGGGCAGAGGGAGAAATTATGATAATTTATCCCCTTTCAGGCCATTTTTACTCAGTCAGAAAAAAGACGTTCAAAATGATGCAATCACTGTAATCGCTGTCTCAGGTTGTATTGAAGTGCCAAGATTAGGAATCAAAACACTTGTTCGCACCCTCATTCTGCTATTGTTACCGTAGAAATATTTCCAAACTTCAGCACAAACGATAACAAGTTAAAGTGCTTTCGAGGACAAGACAATAGATGTTCTGGAAAACAGCTTAATTAAAATTTGTGTTTTAAATCCATGTCTTCCTGTGTTTTTTTTTTTTTTTCAGATGAGTCTGCGGGTCTCTATCCTGAGCAGTTTGAGGACGTAATGGATTTCATCGAAGCTACCATCGGCCGACTGCGGAGGTCATCGGAACTCAGTGGAAGCCCCAGGGGCCGGAGGGAGCCGAGGCAGAGGGGAGCGGCGAAGACGAGAGGCGAGAGAGAGAAGAGGCGGGGTCGAGGCCGAGGCAGGAGCGGCAAGGAGAAGGGCAAGGAGAGGATATCTGTACAGAGTCGAGGCTGCTTACTAAAGGAGGTCCACCTCAACGTGACGGATTTGGGGCTGGGGTACCAGACTAAAGAGGAGCTGATTTTCCGCTACTGTAGCGGGCCCTGTATCGAGGCAGAGACCAACTACGACAAAATCCTCAACAACCTCACGCACAACAAAAAGCTGGACAAGGACACGCCTTCTCGCACCTGCTGTCGACCGATCGCGTTCGATGACGATTTATCGTTTTTAGACGATAACGTGGTGTATCACACGCTGAAGAAGCATTCAGCCAGGAAGTGTGGCTGCGTTTAAGGAAGTCACGTGGCCAGCGGCGGAGAACTACGGATCCCATTAACATGCCGGTGCTACAAAGGGATGGATCGCCGCTGGACATTTGTATCGGAGGTCAAAGAAAGGGTGTGTTTGTTTCGTACTCTGGTCAACTGTTTTTCAAACGGAGTCACAGTGGAGTACGCTGAGTCCTCCAGATACACCTGAATAAACTTATCAGGTGTGCACACACTTCCAGTAGACTTTCAGATTGCTAACTGTGCTGTCAGAAAAAGGTGAGAGTGAAGAAAGGGTTTTCTGCAGGAGGATTTCATTTCCCAGGGACTCAAGTTTTTCCACAGCTGGCTGACTCCAGATGAATCCCGAGATTTGAGGAGTTCTCTCAGATGAATCCTAAATCACTTCCACTCCATAGTCTGGATGTCGACATTTATACATCCAGAGCCAAGGAAACACAGCAGCGCAAAGACTGGTGCAACACATCAACACCAATCAAAGCCATATATATAAATATATATATATATAAACAAGAAAGTATGTGTTAGAGGTATATTTATTAAGATGGAATTAACTTATTGTTATTTATTTCAAACCATTTAAAAAATAAATAGTCTCTTTTTTTTCTTATTTATTTAATAGCTTCGCTTGTCCCGGATGGTGCCAACGTGGAGCTTTTTTCTCATTCAAACTATTCTAAGCTAAACACTCCCACACATCCTACTCATGCTCAATTAGATTCCACTGGTTTTCTAGTCAGACATCCAAATAATCGTCATTAGTCATTGATATGAGGCTCAGCGCGAAAAGGCAAAGAAGGGGACCAATGGAAGATTTCTGCTAGAATAAAGTTCTTTTTTAGGCATTTTTAGGGGCTGTGGCTCGGTTCTCATTACTTTTCCTCAGCCCGAGACAGCTCTCTTCCTCAAAACACCTGACTCAAGCCATCCATTTATTACACTCTCTGTTTACGAAGACAAAAACGATCCCTTGCTTTGAGGTCATCTTCTCATTACTAATCCAGGACAGATTTATTGTTACTCCAGATATGTGCACTGTGCGGTGGTCCCACATGGATCCAATGGTGCCTTTGAGGCTCCATCCTTCAAGTCACATGGTACAGAAGGCGGCTAGAATCAGTGAAACCCAACTCTGACCTCGCACCAGGTCTGAGGAGGGCTGTTTGGAGCTGTTTCTGTCCCGTAGTAGGTTCACGAGACCGCCTTGCCTTTTTTTTTTTTTGTCTGGGCTCTGATTGACAGGTCTTACTCCCTCAAAGGGGATTTGAAAGTGATCCTCTAACATCAGTCTTAACCAGAAAAATCCCCACCGGCGTAGACAGTTTAAGGAAGATCTTGCTACTGTAGCGGCTGTCATTGTGCCACTGATGCAGACAGTTTCCACAAAAGAGCGTGTTTTGGAAAAATCCTGAGCCTGACGTGCTTTTTGCTTGTAACAACTTGTTCACCCAATTTTATTCCCCAACTAAAAGAAATGTACAGGAAAGGAAAGCAGAACTATCTTCTTTTTTTTCTTCTCTCCTGCGAGGGGGTCGTTATAAGTGGAACAAAGAGATCCTTGGTGTAGGTCTCGATGTTAGCACGGATTAGGGACCAAGGTATCTGTGCCCACCCAGCAGCGAGCAAGCAAGCCAGCTTTACTGTGTAATCCCCCTGCACAGAACAAATCCACTGCATCAAGCTGAATTTAGGCCATACACTATATACACACACAGAGAAAAAAAATACTCCAGCCTTTATCACAGCATACCTCATCAGCCGAATCATCTTCCACTTTTAACAAGTCCAGATGAGAACATGAAGACATCCTACCAGCCTCACATCATCTTCATCACTGTCTGCTTCACTTCTTAGTCAGACACAAAGGAACCTGCAGTGTTAATATATTAGAAGGAAATGCATTTGTGGTCATTGTTAACACTTTTGTCAGAAAAAAAAGAAAGAAAAAAGATGTGTTGTCTCACCTGTTTTGTGTTACAGAACCAAAGCTCTCTGCAGACTATTTTTGTACAATATTCATTTTATATCTTTTTACAGAATTAAACTTGTTTCTATTAAATGAACACGTCCTCTGCCAGATGGTGGTCATTCTAACGGGGGGCTGATGTTATTTACACAAAGCACAGCAACAAAAACCGGGAGAGAAAATTTAGTCGAGACGAACGTTGAGGAGCTGTGGCCTTCCTCGGCGTGGCATCTCCTTCAGTTGGGGATTCTTGAACGAGAGCCCAGGCTCGTCCAATAAACAAAAGCCAGCAGTAAAGTGCCACTGTGTTGTAAATCAAGGCACTGGAGAGAATCTTTCCACTGAGCAGAAAAAAAAGATGTGTAAAAGTTTAAGGTTGAAATGGCAGACAGAGTCTTGAAACAGACTCCAGGCATTCACACAATGTCAGGCTGAATTATCGTGAGTGTCGAGCCACATAATAAACTGCAAATCTAAAATTTTCTTAGAATACGCTTTCCAGGCATCAACGCAAACCAGTAAAGGTAAATCTCATCCGTATCCGGCACCTTTTTCTTTTGGGGTGACAATCTTATTGTTGACAAACTTCACCAATAAAATTACCTCATTTGAATTATTTTCTGTGAAGTTAAATCCGAACACACTGCTGCTTACATTTATAAGCTTACAAGATCAGATTGCTCATGGTTTAATGTTCAAAAATAGATTTTTGTTTGCCTTTCTTTGTGCTGAAACCCTGCCTGAAATGATTATTTCTGATTATTTATTATCATTTCCTAAAAACAGGCTGCTTTTGCACCTGTTCTTCAAAAATAAATAAAATAAGTCAGTCACGATTTCCTGACTAATTGGTCAAAAAAAGACAAACCAGCAGTTTATTCTTTAGTTGTGCCACAAGTGTTTCTTTTCTTTGTTGAGGCTTTGGCACATCCCTTAAATTTGAATTTTTAAATTACATTGTGTGAGGTAACAAACACTGTCAGCTGAGTGGACAGATGAAAATGGTCTCAAATTGTTTCAAAATTCAAAAGGCTTCCTCAGAACCAGTAAATATTCCTCAACAATCACAGAATTTATTAAGTCTCTACTTTAAAATCTTTATCGACCTTCTGAGAAGTGGATGTAACACAATAGATTGAGGCACGATGGGAAGATTCTTTGTAAACTGAGTGAGCTGAGCCTTTAATAGGTGCACATTTAAAAGGTTTCTAGCTTAAGGCAATGTTTTTTTTTTCCTCCATGCAGAGTTTCATTTTCAGCGACCTGATGCTTTTATTACAAAAAGCTGGAGCCATCCGAACAGAATCCAACTTAAATCTGTCCTGTTTGATGCTGGGGCTCTGAAAGACAAGCTGACGTCAAGCTGACACAGTCTTTCCTCCTCTGTGTTGACCGTATTAACGCCGTTGAAACCTTTGTCTCAGTTTTTATTTTATGGCCGCGAGTTCTTTCTGAGGACACAAACGTTTTAACTATCCTCTCGCCGTTTCAACTGGCAGGAAGAGATTGGGTTTCTGTTTCTTCCCTCATAAGTCACCGAGCAGAAACATCTTGAAAACAACAGACGAGGCATAAAAGTTTCTGCGGATAATTTTATGTTCTCTCACCAAACCGCAGTGGTGTCCAGTCCTGGTCCTCCAGGGCCACTATCCTTCATGCTTGGGTCGCTCCCCTGCTCTACAGCAGACACCTGTCAATCATTCAAACTCAAATCAGGTGTAAAAAAGGCAGAAAAAGCATCTAAAACGTGCAGAATAGTTCCAGGTTTGGACACAGCTGCCATAAAATAAAGATGTGAGCTACAATTGGAAACCACCACTTTTAAAACAAGTCGAGTAGAAAACAAGTCTTACACACTTAGGCACAGGTCCAAACCGGTGTCTGTACAGCCGTGACGCTCATTAGCCTCGATCGAGCGTGTTTTCATGCTGTTTGTGTAGTTTTGACCCTGCTTTAGTTGGAAGAACAAATAGTGTTCCCAGTTAAATGTGGTGCGCTGAAGTTGCATTCCAGAGAGATGTATAATACACAGAACCCAAACATGGCTTTCATTATCTGTATATTGTGGCTTTGTCGTGTCACTTTAAGAATTTCAGACGCTGCACAGGTCATTCAACGAGTTCCTCCAGAAAATTTTTTTTTTCTTGCTTTGAAAACAAGCTAGGAGGAATTGTTTTAAAAACGGGTTGATCCCAGCGCCCATTCGGTTACAGACGAATCAACGTATTTTTGCTAAAAGAAGAGAATTAAAACTCAACCGTGACTCATCAAATCGCTCCACTTTTCAGCAGCATTTAATCCAAATAATGTGCGCTGTTTAAAAGAAAGTGTTTAAAAAGGCAGAGAGTAGAAGCGGCTTTAAAAACGGTAGCTTCAGGTTGGAGCTTGTGCCTCACAGGAAAGGCATTCCTTTGATCAGCATGTAAAACCCATTCGACTTCACTTCACTACATTAAATATCACTTTCTGCCAGGAAAGATATACATTTCTTTATTTAGGTTTTTGAGCTTGTATACATGATGTAGGATCAGGGGGAAAAAGAGGAATAAAGGTTTTGTCAACAACAACTCAAAGGAAAAGTACAGCTTTAAAAATGTCAAGCTTTAAAAACGTTCCCACATAAAACTCACTGAAATTTTATTACATCTTTCGCTGTTTGCGAGCTATTCTTCACGGTGCTGAACAGCACCAGACCACAAAATATGGAGCTGATTTATGAAACATTAGCAAACGCAACCTAATGGAAATTATGAAAAAAAATACAGTCAAGACAATGAAAACAGACATAAAACATGAAGTGGCTCGTGTATCGAAGTGAGAGGAACATAAAATTGTACAATTTATGTTTCCTCTTCACACCGAGGGGTAAAAATATGGATTTAGGCAAGAAAACCTAAACTGAAGAGAGCATTAGGGGCAAATTTTGACTTTTCTTTTGTTTGTTTTATATTAAAAGAACAACCGTTGGAGGTTTTAGATTTTGCGTTTCTTCCACTCTGGTTCTTTGTCGGCTTCCTCGTCCTCGTCTGATTCCTTTGCAAACATGGGCTCCGGCTGGGTCCTAAAGGGATTCACAGAACAAGTAATGATTTAACAGTTAGTTTGTTTTTTGTTTTGTTTTTTCCTGACAGCTTCAGAATCAAAGCATGTAGAGCAAAAATATCTATCCAGCTGTGAAGCAATGAATTAAGTGAGATTCTTACAGTTTTAGGGTGTCAGACTAAAGATTTCTTCTTTACAGATCAAATGAAGCTTAATGAAGTCCATACTGAGCAGAAAACTGCACAGTAATTCAAACTTTTTATGCTTGTTTAGCGCCGTCATAACGAACCAGGCTTGTAAACTGTGTCATATGTGGCATGACTTCATTATACTTACACTTGTGCAAATAAACAATTACATGATTACTAATTTAGAAGAACTGCTTACACTGTGCAACATGTGCAGCTCCTGACTGAATGTTTAAAAGCAGGGTTAAGATTCTTAATCTGGTGTTCTGTGGACAGGTTATAAACAAATAACATCTTACCTGTTTTAGATAGCTCTTTGAAGGGCATCAGTTTGAACAAATAGACTTTAGTTTGGACTGGATTGTCCCGCTAACAACTAGTTGGAGTAGGGACAAGACCAAAATTCATTGCAAGGAGTAGCATCAGCTGCTAGCTGTAGCACTTCTGAGATGAAACTCATCTACTTTGGTTTTAGTCCTGCTTAGACCAGCCTTTAACTTGTCTTGATCAGATCAGAATTAATTTCTATATCTCCAAACTGAAGTAGTTTAAAAAGCTAACTGGAACAGGTAAGATATTGACTGCTTGTAACCTTTCCACAATCTGATCTGAACTTTAATAAAACTCCAGACCAACAAACAAAACTTTAATAGCAACTATTAGTGTATCATGTTATATGACTGTCCTCAGCCTATAAAACACTCTTTAACTTAGGTCTGAGTTTAATACTAATTTACTGTGAAGAAACTTTTTTTTATTATTCTGAGTATCATATCAGAGAGAATTAACAAATAAATAAATAAAAATAAACTCAAATTGTGTTCTAATCAAAGGCAAATTTAGAGAAAAGAAGCAGAATGAGAAAAAGAAACAGATGTGTCAAACCCCCCCCTTACTGTTTATATGCCGGAGCGATCCAGTAAGGGTTCTCTGATGCCTCCTTGGCGTGCCGCAGGATGGCCTCTCGCGGATTACTGTCGTCAGTTTTATCTAAAGCGATGTTCTTGACAATGAATGAAGACAAAGTGCCGCCATGAGCTGCGACTCTGCCTCCTCGACCTGTAAGAGCACACGATTACACACTGTTAGAATGAAGGAAGGAAGAATGAGCCTTCTGTGCTGGTAACTGGATTTCCCTCACCCAGTGTAGGTTTTGGAGGTATTTTTCCTTCAAAAGTAGGACGATACATTTATTTTATTTTTTTTTTACTGAAAACACAGATGGATTTCTTGCTAAACCTGCTCAGTGTTGTTGTTTGGGGGATGGTGCGGCGCCTCTTTCCATTGCTTGTAAGCATCCAGCCAACCATCAAACATTACCTTGCACTTATGCGACGTGACTTCACACACAAGATAAACATTAGAAGGGCAGTCTGTAATCTGAAAACCACAGCTCTTCTATCAAGAAGTCGTGCTCATTTTCATGAACTAAACCAACATTTTAATTTTGTGTCTTTCTCCAAACCTCAACAACAATAGGGATTTCACATTTATATACAGTACTGTGCAAAGGTTTGTCCTGGCTGCAACTCTAAAAGAAACTGAGCTGCCAAATTTCTAATCATCATAAAAATGGTTTTGTTGTATAAATTTTATGTAACCACTGTAAAACGTAAAAAGACTTTGAAAAGTAGGATGCATTATAAAAACTGATTCCTATGAGGTCTTAAATGAGCTAAATATAATAAACAAACAATGACATTTTGTCTGGCAAACTTGGTGATTTTAACAGAAACTAATAAGAATGATTAAGCAGTGTGCAAAAAACAAAGTATTTGTCATGATTCAGCAGTGGGACCTTATCAGTCTCTAACATCATGAAGGAATTTTGGCTCCCTCTCCTTCACAGTATTGCTTCAGTTAACTGAGGTTTGTAAGCATTTGTTTTTACAATACTCCAATAAAACCCCACCACTGCATTACAGTCATGTTGAGGTTTGTTCTTTTTTTTTATTTATTTATTTGGCCGTTGTGTCGTAGATTTGATTATGTGGTCGGGATAATTGTTCTGTTGCATAACACAGCTTAGGCCACGCTTCAGTTGGCTTTAGATGAATTTGATATAAAGAGTTCATGGTTGATGTAGTGACTGCAACAGGCCCTGGTCCTGTGACTACAATACAAACCATCACACATCCTCCACCGTGCTCAACAGTTAGCTAATCTATGGACTCGTCAGCTATTTAGATTTTTTCTAAATTTACTGTGAGAACCTAAACATTTAGGCTGCTGAGTCTGAATTGCTGATGAATGACGGACTCCAAATGCTTAAAAAAACTTTCTAGATTAACAAAAGACAAGAATGACCAACTGCTGCATTTCTCCCTCCCCATCTCCCTCCCCATCTCCGCCACAGCTGCCCAACTGGGGCGGCTGTGGCAGAGTGGTTAGGGGAGTCGTCCTGGAACCAGAAGGTCACTGGTTCGATCCCCCGTCCAGCCATCTCAGTCGTTGTGTCCTTGGGCAAGACACTTCACCCACCTTTGCCTACTGATGGTCATCAGAGGGTCCGGTGGTGCCGGTGCATGGCAGCCCCACCTCTGTCAGTGTGCCCCAGGGCAGCTGTGGCTACAGTGTAGCTTGCCATCATCAGTGTGTGAATGTGAGTGTGAATAGGTGAATGTTTGTTAGTGTAAAGCGCTTTGGGGGTCCGGAGGGACTTGAAAAGCGCTCTATAAGTTCAGTACCATTTACCATTTACCATTTACCATCTTACTAAAGGAGACATATTCTGCTTTTAAAACCTTCTTTTTCACATTTAAATCATTTGGTTGGGATCTATATAAAAAGGGAACTGCAATGCTTTGGTCTGAATTCCTCCTTTTAACTCCACAAGCCACTCTTACACCCCTTTTTCTAAGGTGTGTCTCAGATCAACTCGTTTTGAGGCCGTCTCTTTAAATCCAAAGCAGTTGCTTCACACCGCACCCCTCTCCAGCTTCTAGAGCGATTCATTCTAATTTGATAGAGGGGTTTATGACTGTATAGCGGTGGGAAAACTTACAAATTAATTAAAATATGTTAACAAGGGAAGACTTGTTCATCCAGCCTTAAATGTTGGAGCCAGAGTCTGACCCAGAGTGAGAGAAGAATTAAGACCACCAAGCTGGAGTTGGTAAGTCCAGACATTATACAGCATCTCTGTCCCGTCCCAAATACTGTGACGTAAAAGTTCAGAAAACATCATAGATAATAAAGAAGATCGGACGGGTTGAACAATATGACCCAAACAAAATATAAAGATATCTGTGCAGCACCGGGAGAGACTAAATAAAACGTTTCTGCACTCCTAGAGACTCCAAGTACACAACTAAATTATTTAAGAGCTAAAAAAGTGGACTTTGCATGATATGACCCCTTTAACAAAAATGAATGCTCCAAACCACATCAAACTGGCACATTTATAAAAGGGCTTTTGATGACTGCTACTTACCCTGCTAATTTATATGTAATAAGTAAAGATGGAATTTTAGCTAAACTGCTTTTCATTTTCATTAAAACACAATATTAATAAAGCATGGCGTAATATGACTTTTTTTCGGATCTAGTACTTATTTAATTTTAAGATCAAGTAGTTAGAGTTTAAAATGAATGTTTCAAACGTGTTTTCATAATCCAAGAAATAAATTTCAATATGGAAGATTGTTACAACCACATAGTTCTGATC